ACAGGTAGTGTGTGAAATATGATTATTATTGTAGAAAGTATGTTTCCAACGTCTTGCCAAACTTGGACAGAAAAGCCATAGTGACTAAACCTCTTTTTTTTTTTTGTTCAACATACGGGTATGTTTGAATTAATTTATACACACTTAAAATTATTTTTTTTTTCTATCTAAACTTAAATTTTTCGGATTAAGCGTGCTCGGGTTAGTTACGTGCACGTCGAACTAAGATTAAAATTTTTGACCTAATCTCAAAAAATGGTAAAGAATGAAAGCTTTTGTTCTCCTATTTGGCACTTGGGCTTTCCTTTGTTCTTTCGGCTGGTTGGTCAGAATGTGGTACTTGGTGGCTTGGGTACGGTTACGGTACGATAATGGTATTATGTTCAAAATAATATAAATTTAGGTAATTTATAATTATAAATTAAAAATAAGAAAATAAGAAAAGATATATTGTGTGACGAATTTTTATTAACAAAACAAAATAGGAGTACGATACTAAAAAATATATTTTAATACTGTAACACTGTCCGGACGGATTTGGCTTGTGCTTTCGATGAAAAGATTTATCAAAATAATCATTTTTCTTGCAAAGTAATAANCCATAGTGACTAAACCTCTTTTTTTTTTTTGTTCAACATACGGGTATGTTTGAATTAATTTATACACACTTAAAATTATTTTTTTTTTCTATCTAAACTTAAATTTTTCGGATTAAGCGTGCTCGGGTTAGTTACGTGCACGTCGAACTAAGATTAAAATTTTTGACCTAATCTCAAAAAATGGTAAAGAATGAAAGCTTTTGTTCTCCTATTTGGCACTTGGGCTTTCCTTTGTTCTTTCGGCTGGTTGGTCAGAATGTGGTACTTGGTGGCTTGGGTACGGTTACGGTACGATAATGGTATTATGTTCAAAATAATATAAATTTAGGTAATTTATAATTATAAATTAAAAATAAGAAAATAAGAAAAGATATATTGTGTGACGAATTTTTATTAACAAAACAAAATAGGAGTACGATACTAAAAAATATATTTTAATACTGTAACACTGTCCGGACGGATTNTGACGAATTTTTATTAACAAAACAAAATAGGAGTACGATACTAAAAAATATATTTTAATATTGTAACACTGTCCGGACGGATTTGGCTTGTGCTTTCGATGAAAAGATTTATCAAAATAATCATTTTTCTTGCAAAGTAATAATCGATGGTTATTTGATGTAGTAGTAAAAAAAAATCTCAAAAGTTGGTAATTTTGAAATCTAAAATTGGAATTATTCACTAATTAATGGCATACCCCACAATTTTTATTTCTTGTTTATGTATATAATGATCACGTGCTTGTTAGCTCTGAGCATCTAATCCACATGCCGGCATTACAAAGACAAACGTTAATGAATCGAAAACAAATCATCATCATTAACAATTTGATTACGTAAAATTGCAGTCTAGGAAAAGTATTTGTCATTTTTTTGACTTTTTTAAGGATTTTTTTGAATAAGTTTAGGAACATGTTTTTATTTTTGTTTTTTTTATCGAGATTTATTCACTTCTTTTAAACATAATCAAATATACAATAACTTGTAATGCACGTTTATAACATGCATCTAGACTACTTTTACAAAAATAAAAACAACTTTTATCGTCTTTTGTGGTAATCTTTTTTCTTTTTTGAACAGGTCTTTTCTATGGTAATTCCAACGACTAAAATCAGGGGAGTGGTACGAGTTTCATTCAGTGTGATATAGATTATTCTATTTTAAAATACANTTCTATGGTAATTCCAACGACTAAAATAAGGGGAGTGGTACGAGTTTCATTCAGTGTGATATAGATTATTCTATTTTAAAATACACCCCTTATATTATCTAAATTTTACTAATTTCCTCTACCTGTGTTCGAACAATGAAAATGACAACAAGAATATATGTTTTTTTATAATGACCATGAAATATTTGGAATATTCTATTCTACATATGGCATGTAATTACCCCATGAAAACATAAGCTTTTAGTCTCTTTTATTTTGAATATATGTATATATAATAGTTGGTGCACGCGTGTGTTGTACGCCAATTATTTTAATTTTTTTTTATATGGAAAAGATTATATATTACATGATAGTTATTGAATTTTCTGGAGCTCACGTATCCACTTGTTTCTTTGTTAATGGCCGGTTATATAAAGTGGCACCGTTAACGTGAGGTAATGACCATGNGATTTTTTTTTTTTCATATGGAGAAGATTATATATTACATGATAGTTATTGAATTTTATGGAGCTCACATATCCACTTGTTTCTTTGTTAATGGCCGGTTATATAAAGTGGCACCGTTAACGTGAGGTAACGGTTACTCACGACGTGAGGTAATTACCATGAAATATTTGGAATATTCTATTCTATATATAGCATATAATTACCCATGAAAATATATGTTTTTCAATCTCTTTTATTTTGAATTTGAATATATATATATAGTAGTTGGAGCACGCGTGTGCTGTACGCCAATTATTTTGACTTTTAAAAAAAAAATTAATAAATTAGATCAAATTTTTTTATATAGAGATGATTATATATTAGGGCATCTCCAACCCTTATTTAAATTTAAATTTGAGTAAAAAAAATCTAAAAAATTTGCTCCAACTCTTGACTCAAACTTATACCAAATTAAAAAAAAATTATTTTTTTATTCAAATCAAGGAAGACTCAAATCTTTTAATGGTGAGATTTCACCATTTTTTAAAGATCTAATAATCATCCTTACTCCCTTTTAAATTTGAGTTTACTTTCATTTAAATCTGGGTCTCTCATTCTTTAAATTTGAGTTTGTCCATTGGAATCATTTATATCCGATCAAACTTTTTACTCAAATGTTAATTTAAATTTGAGTAAAAATTTAAGTCATGGTTGAAGATGCTCTTACATGATGGTTATTGAATTTTATAGAACTCACTTATCTACTTATTTATTTATTAATGACCAGTTATGCAAACTGGCACTGTTGACGTGAGGTAACTGTTATGCTCAAGATTTTTTTCATATTTTTCATTTGTATGAATTAAATTGTATAATGTTCAAAAAATAAAAAGTGAATTTCATTGCATTTAAAAACTGTAATATTTAACTTCAGTAAGTAATTAATAGTTGGATGATTACCGATTTCTTGAACCAATAAAAAGTTATTACAATAAGTTATTATTGTCTTTTTTATCTTTTTAAAGATATTATTATTAATTAAAATTTTTTAACAAGTATTGACATTCGAAAAATAGTATATAAATTATTAAATTTATTTGAATATTTGTTTTTTTAACTAATTTGGATATGCATTACGTATCTACATTATTATTTAATAAAATTGAGGAGAAATTCATGAACTAAATGTTAAAATCATCTCTAATCAACAAATCGGATATCTATTTTAACAGATTCATATATGCACTGTAAAAAATAAAATTCGTTGGATAATTGAATTGGATTCGAATCATATTGTTCAAATCGAATTTGGATTTAATTTATATTGTTTGAAACGAATATAATCAAAAGTCAGGCAATGAATTTATTAATTCAATAATACAACTAATAAAAAAAAATAATGCTATGTAACCTAAATCTGTAATTCAAATTTGCATNTAATACAACTAATAAAAAAAAAAAGTAATGCTATGTAACCTAAATCTGTAATTCAAATTTGCATTCCAAACGAAAGGGTATTATTGGATCAGTGGGTCTCATTTAAAAAAATTGATGAAACTCACTCATCCAATGACCCCCTTCATTTGGGATGCAAAATTGGATTAAAAATTTGGGTTACATAGTATTTTCCTAAAAAAAAAAAAATTCTCAAAAAAAAAATAAAGTAAACATTATAAAATTATTGAAGAATAAATAAGAAAATAATTTTTTTTTTCACTTAAACCACTTTTATTAATAGTATAAATAAGTAAAAAGAGCATGCAAAGATCTATGTATATTGGATTTGTTATGTTGGAAAGGATTCAATGTCATCTTATTTTAAAGTATTTTTTATCACCCAAAAAATAAAAAAGTAATGAGGTGCTCATCAAAATACTATCTTTAAAATAATCGATAGGAGTTACTTATCTAACAATCTATATTAATTTAGTAAAAAAATAGTTGAATAAATATTTTTATAAGTGTAATAATATTCAAAAGGAAGGGAAAAAAAAAAAGCAACGGATAAGGCTGGCCATCACACCCTTCTTCTCCATCTCTCGCTCTCTATTAATAAATTCATACATATATTTGTAATGGATAAAGCAAGTTGATACAAATAATTTATAATCATTAATTAAAAATTACTAAAATAATAATAAAAATTACATACATTGTGATAAAATCCCATTACAATTTTTTATGATAAAATTACACATTTGAAAAGAAAAGTTGAGGAGGACCAGGGCGAGGATTAATCGGCAATCAGAGAGAAGTAGTCGATGCATGCGTAAGTTAGATCCGAACTTCCTTAACTGTTAAAAAAAATAATAATAATAAAAGTTAGTAGGTGAAAAAGCAAACATACAACATCAAAAAAGTTATGAGCAATATTATATGAACTTAAAAAATAAACTTGATAATTTAAATTATTAATTTCACTGTAAATTTTACCAGTTATTGAACTCACTATCAATTCAATAATTAAAAATATTAAATTTAATTTTTAAGTCCTCTAATCATTATTCAAGATATTATGTCACAACGTAATTGGACCCATTGGTAACAGTGATATACAAGTTGCAGAATAATAAACGGCGATAAATCTAAGGAGTCAAGTCAACCATTGTGTCCTTCGCGAAGGTCTGAAAGAGTGCTCATCCCAAAAAAAGAAAAAAAAAAAAACAAATTCAAATGATTATAGTCATATTTGTTTATATATGTTCACACCTTTGTGTTTGATCTGATTTGGGTACTCCAGTTTTCAATTGCTCTGCACCAAAACCATATAAGGAATTTTTTTTCTGGGTGTGTGGAAGTAAATCTCTCTTCCTCTCTCTCTCTCTCTCTCTCAGAAAAGGAGGTCAGAGGAGCTTGCCAGCTTGGTGTTTCGATAATGAGGTGTTGTTTCAGCGTTCGAATCAAAGCCGAGAGTCCTCTTCAATCTGGTATGTATATTTATATAACTCTGTTTGAATCATTATTTTGTGACTGATTTTTCTGAATTGTTTACATTTGATATGCTGTGTAATCTTAGCTTACAACAGCTAGTAATTGATAAGAACCCAGTATTATTCAACAATTGTCTCTCTATATGTAGACACACACACACACACATCTAGAAAGCTTAAGTTGTTCTACAACGGTAATTTAAGTATTTATACATCGACATGCCTAGATTTTGCCTACGATATCATATTCAACAATCAACTCATCAAGCTTAAGCTAGAGAGGATGTAACTTGGATACATCCTTGGATAGTCTTACTTTAACAACACACACACACACACACACACACACTCTTTCAGATTTGCAAGTCCAGTTGGTTTGTATGCTCGAATACATTGAATTAGCTGAGATTACCTTGATCTTGTATTTCGATGAAAACCCTTCAGATAATTGATATTTCTTATCTTTAGGATTGTACCAAATAGAGAACATATGATGTATTAGGATCTATGGTAAACTGTTTCCTAATACGTATTTTACTTTTGGAATTCGTGTGTTTGTCTTAAACAATAGCAACAATTCAAAACCCTTTTTTTGATTGGCTATAATTTTCTTCTGAAATCAAGCGGAGCATATAATTATGTGCAAGTTTTTCTAACAGTAAATCTGCTTTTCTTCTTGTTGTTAATAGTACTGTGTGCACAATTATGAGATTCTATCTCACAAATAAGGTATTTTGAGTTTTAACACCGCGTGGGATCTCTTGCGCGTGATTCATGCTCCTTGAAATTATGTTCAGCTATATATGCTTAGTGAGCGACAAAGCAATTCGAATCAATTTCATTTAGGATTTAATAATGCCAAATAGGAATTATATAGTTGCTCAACCAATGTAACTCTGTGGATCCAAATAGTACAACAGTGAATAGCAGCAATTCCCTTTGTGACAGTCAATAGTTGGTTTTATCCGTGAAAAACTAGATTGCCTTATTTTGTTTGATGTTTGATTTGTTTGCAGACTTGGTATTAGTTTGAAAATTGAATTAATAAAAGCTACATCAATTTTGGTCCCTATTAGGGGAGGGTGCTTGGAGGGATAGGTTGGGTAAAGATCTTCGCTATGTATATGTTTGAGTTTGACAATTTGAAAACTGCAGTTATAACTATAAGTCTCTTTTTCATTCAAGAGTCTGTCATTGGTGAAGAGATTAACCCAAACAGAAATATGGCTTCAATGACTGAACAGGGCTGGACTCAAAATATGTCAGCAAAGACGAAGACAATACGAGTTGCAAGATTTCATCTGTGCCACTGACCCCTCGGAGTGAGGGTGAAATTCTGGAAGCGTCAAATTTGAAGAGCTTTAGCTTCAATGAACTCAACATAGCCACCAGGTGCTTCCGTCCAGATAGTGTGTTAGGAGAAGGTGGTTTCGGGTGTGTCTTTAAGGGATGGATTGATGAGCAAACATTAAAAGCTGCCAAGCCTGGTACTGGCATAGTTATTGCGGTGAAGAGATTAAACCAAGAAGGTTTCCAAGGTCACAAGGAATGGTTGGTAAGTATGACTTTGGCCCTGCTTTGGCTTTTTCAGAGATTTCACAAATCTCCGTGTTATAACCATAGGATCATGTCTTTTATTTGGGTACCACGGAGGCAGACATATGAGAACTCAAAAAATGAGTGGGCATCTGATTATTAGTAGAGTCGCATTTTTAGTTTAGACGAACCGAACAACCATGTCAATAACATATTATTGGACGATTAGTGGTCATGCTTGCTCTCGGTAGTTGTTGCGGTTTGGTGGGATTGCCATCAAACAATTTGAATAAGCTGAGTCATTAATTTGTGGTTCCTTCTCACGTGCAGGCAGAAATCAATTATCTGGGGCAGTTATATCATCCTAATCTTGTGAATTTGGTTGGGTACTGCTTAGAGGATGAGCACCGACTTCTGGTATACGAGTTCATGCCCCGGGGCAGCTTGGAAAATCATCTGTTCAGAAGTGAGTTATTGATGATCTTAACATATTAGCTTGTCTTCCAGTCAATTGTTATCCTAAAGGAGGAAAATTGTCAATGGCCTCCATTTTATTTTGTTTGTTTGTTATGATTTAGCCACTTAAGTATTCTTCCACAGGAGGTTCTCACTTCCAACCGCTCTCTTGGAATCTCCGTATGAAGATTGCTCTTGGTGCTGCAAAGGGTCTTGCATATCTTCACAGTCCCAAAGCTAAAGTGATATATCGGGATTTCAAATCCTCCAATATTTTGATTGATTCTGTATGTGGCACATTTCAATTATCAAGTTAATGGCTTCCAGAAAAGTTCATTATACCTGTGGTTTTCTTAAAAAATATCTGCTGTTATCTGTGCCAGAACTACAATGCAAAGCTTTCGGATTTTGGGTTGGCCAGGGATGGACCAAGAGATGGTCATAGCCATGTATCGACAAGGGTTATGGGTACATATGGCTACGCAGCTCCTGAGTATGTGGTCACAGGTATTCTAAATTCTTGGAAATGTATAAATTCAAGTCCAAGAAAAGATCTTGGACCCATTCTTTTCCTGTACCACTCTGTTTTCCTTTTTTAGTGGTTTAGCCTACATAGCCTTCTGTTACATTCACCTATACTCCAACTTGTATTTTGGTTCAACCCCATGTCAAGTCTCTCATTTGTCTTAACTCGCTTAAGGCATAAAAAACTGTGCTTCAAAGGATCACATCTATCAGTCTAAGTTCTCTCCCCCAACCCCAACCCCCCTCCCTTTTTGCAACTTTGATCTCTCTCTCTCTCTCTCTCTAGTTTTAACTAGCCAGCGTGACCAACTATCAGAATATCCGGTTTTCACTGTATGGAGCCCTGGTCCTTTGTAATATCTTACTTCCCTCATTAGTGAGTGAATCAATCTCATTGTCTCCTTATTAATCCCTAGTTATTATTTTCTTCTTATGAAGGTCATCTAACTACCAAAAGCGACGTATATAGTTTTGGAGTTGTTCTTCTAGAAATATTGTCTGGCCGACGAGTATTGGACAAGAATCGTCCACCTGGGGAACAAGACCTCATCGAATGGGCTAAGCGTTTCCTGGTCAGGAAACACAGAATCGTCTATGTTATGGATTCCCGTATCGAAGGCCAATATTCCTTGGGTGCAGCACTTAAAGCAGCTACCCTTGCAATCAATTGCATTTGCATAGAACCCAGGTTCAGGCCGAACATGGATGAGGTGGTAAAACAATTGGAGCAGCTTCAGAACTCGAAAGACACAGGGAGCACTAAAAGTGAGGTACTCCATAGGCATCGTAAGAAGCGTACCGAGGAAGCTTTTAATAATAGAAAGGCTGCTTCCTGTCCACAGCCATCTGCCTGAACCAGTTGAGCTTGGAGAAGCCAAGGATTTTTGATATGATTACAGTTTGTATTTATCATTTCAGAAGAGAGGAAACTGTCTGGAGAAATTGTATCAGAAGCTGGAGTTGTATTACACCATTACTTTGTCTGTACAGTTGTTATATATCTTGGGTGATTTTTTAATACATATAATTCTTTTGACCCATCAAAGACTTGGCATACAAATCAGGTTCATATGAGGAGAAAGGGAGATCTAAATCTGGGGATTTTTGAGATGTTTGTAAGACGCTCTCCAAACTTTGCAATTGCTGAAGTTTCGTGCACTAGGCCATCTTTTTTGGGCATGACTTGGGAATCTACTTACTGGACTGAAAGGATGATGAGGTGAGTATGAATAGTTGTAATAGCATTTGCTATAGCTGTGATCTGTATGAGGAAAGATGAAACAGGGATAAACCTTTCTTACCCATCGCCGTTTCAAATATTGGCCAATACCGATACGAGGCGTATCCAACTTGGCAAATTTCGAGATGATACAGATAAATTCTGAGTTTTGCACGACTCAGCTGACTTATCTTCAAGTCAATCCTGAATCGCCGAGTTAACGTCGTTGAATTAACCGATACGGTTTTATGATGTCGCGATATGACTTGAATCTCTTATCATGTTTAATATTTTATTTTATATTATATCATCCAATATCGAGTTACGACGTTGCAATTGACGTGTCTTAGAGCACTTCAAGTTGATAGTTGATAACGTAACGTGAACTATGGTTTTAAATGACCTGATGTTACCAGAGTATTGGACAGTTTGATCTCCATTTTGAAGCATTTATTGTCCAATATTGGATTGAAATAAAAGAAAAACAGGATAACGGCTCTGCAGATAGACTCATTTAGCAGATATTTATATTCCCTAATGAGTGGCTTTAAGAGTTTGAGGCGTTCGCTTGGGCCCATTCGCACATGTCTCATAAAATAATATTGTATGACTTAAAACAAAATGTAAAAACTTTAGGATGTTATGTGAAATTATTAAAAAAAATTATCAATATTTTTTTAAAATCATACATGTATATGTAAATTTTAAAAAAAAAAAGACAAAACCATATTCTTGTATAAAAAATTATAAAACTCTATTTTCTCATTTTATTTGAATTCTTAATAACTCTAGTCTATTTGTTTAGTTTTATTTTTTTGAACTATAATTTTTGAGTTAATTTTAATTTTAATATAATCATTTACATCATCATGTGTTTATTTTGCAAGTTGTTTTCCACCTTAAGTATATACACTAAAAGATATAAATCTAAATATCTAAAATTTAAAAACAAAAATAAATAAATTACTCATCAAAAAATAATTTAGGTTCCATCTAAAATTTTTGTTTGAGGGTTCAAGTATTCTTGGAACGCCCCTAATTTTGGTTTGTAACAGTACAAATTTGTCAATAATAGTTGGTATAAAGAATTTTAATTGTACTTGAAATAATAAAACCTTGCAAGAACGACCTCGTAAGGGCCTCTCTCCCGCTATGATTTTTAAACACATAACTCGGACTAATGTTTGCCGTCCAAATTTTATGTACTCGTAACTATTTGCAAATCATGTTCATCGGATAAGCTTAATTGTTATGTTGTCGGGGGACTAAAACTCCCCTCAAACTCGGACTAAATTTACGACATTACACAGTGCCTTTTGATTCAGCATTGAACTAACTCACGAGGGTTCATCGTGGTGTTTTAAAGTATCCAAATTATCTACTTAAACCGTGGTGTAAGTAGGGCCATAGTATAATTGTTAAAGAGTGTTTTTATCTCACATCTAATAATTAGGATTATCGAGATTAGTTTATATATTTGAAGAGTCAATTAATTTTGAGATAAATTCTCTAATAATATCAGAGCTACATCTTGAGTTATCAGTGAGTTAATTCTCTTATGCATCTTAATTTCTCAGTATGTATGATTTTTTATTTTTTTGTTCGTTGAACTCATGTGCGAGCCAGATCTCTCGTGTTAAGAAAACTTGTATTTCACATCTAATAATTAGGATCATTAAGTTTAATTATAACAATAGATCTTTGGTCCAATTGTATTCCTTACCTTGTAAAAATTTTTGTCTTCTTAAAATGAAGGGTAAGTTATATAGATGTGCACTTTCAAATTCATGTGATGGAAGTCTATATATGCACAAAAGTACAAAATATTGGTTACCAACCATTCATAATAATTAAAAAAAAATTATATACTTCCATCCATTGACAATTAATTTAAATTAGATGCTGTAACAGTAATATGGACTTTGCTGATGATCTATTCCCCTTACATTGGGGCAAGGGCAATTTCCAACAGTAGCGCATGGTCTTCAACGCTACAGTACTTTTCATATTTTTTCCATTTGACTCTTTATATAGGATCATAATAATATAATAATTTACTCCTGCTGTTAAAATATAACTCAATACGAATACGACACAAAATTAAAAAAATTTAGTTTTCCTAAAACTACCCATTTTGTAGATGAGTAGAAGCACATGTTTTTCAATGCTACAATACCTTTTTTATTTTTTCCATTTGACTTTTTATATAAGATGATAATAATAACACGATACAAAATAAAAAATTTTGATCTTCTTTCAGTCATCTATTTTGTAAACGAGTGGACCCAACACGATTAATAAATAAATCAGATATGAATAAAACCAATCAAAAAAAATAAACGACATGACTATTTTATATCTTAGTTATACACTGTTCATAAATGACACGGACTCGATATGATACGACTCGTTAGACCCAAATTAATAAACAAATCGAATATAAATAAAATATTTTTTAACACGAACGTACTACTTTATCTAACATGAACACACTACTATCAAATAACAAAAACATTACTAAGGAACACATAGCCTTGTTACATAGAAAGGAAAGTAGCAAGTCCACATCAAAATGCCACAAACATTTATTCTGAAAACCGTTAGAAAAGCATATTAAATTTTAAATACAAAGAACCCATTAAGTTTGGCTTAACATGATCCATAATCCCTCTTATGCAGCTAATCAGCCTCAGCTATGGTTTTTAAATTGGAAAAAACTTTCGTCACAACAACAAAAAGTTATATTACAATATATGTGTATGCTCAATATTCAAAATGTAAAATTACGGTCCATTTTCGAAGTTCGTAATTAACATAATATCCATTACCGAGGGGACTCAGCTAAGAAATTCACAACCCTGTTCAACAGATTCAAGCCAAATACAGTTTCTTCACAGTTGAGTTTCACGGACACAGTCAGTGGTTCAGAGCATTTACCTTCAAGGGTAACAGTGATTAAGCATGGCATTGAGTTGCTCAGGATCTCACCACTGAATCGTAAACACAAACCCGATGCATCATCAAGGTTGGCAGCCACAGGCATGTCCACAGATACAAGAAAAAGGTTTGTGTTACTGAGCATCTTCAACGCTAGGCTCTCACAAATTACAAGAAACCTGTCTTTAAGTAGTGAGCTATCACCCTTGTCATCAGTTATCTCTCCCATGTGATCAGTGAAGTTACACCTGTGGCAAATCATTGAAAACAAACTCAATACAAGATTTCAAAACAAAGACGACAACAAAGAAAAAACTTTTTCTAGGAATATTTGTTTTTTTTAACCTAAAATTGGCAAGAAAATAGAAGATTGATTCATCTCTTCACATTCATTATGCCCTCAGATTTTGTTAAAAATAAAATTCTTCCTTTGACAAATGAACAGATTCGCAAGTCTGCCTGCCTCGCTCAGATGAATATAGCAGATTTGCTTTGATTTTCCCTTTTCTCATTAGCAAGAGATAATAATCGACATATTATTTCTACTTTCCCCCAGTCAAAGGCATGCTCAACTCCCATGACAAGACAGATTTGATTATAAGTATTAATTTGAAAACTATGATCTATTATGGCTATTGAAAAATCAAACTAAGATTGATTATATATAACAAACTGAAACCAAAATCCCTTGTTTAGTCCTGAAAACTATTCCCTTGTTTCAAAAAGTTTTGGCCAAAATATTCAAGGCATGAAATGTGTTGAGAAGTGGGGTGATACACTGTAATAATGACATGACCATGTCTCCATTTTGACAAAACAAATATAGGACCTGATTGGCGATAATGATTAGATGGTTTACTCCATGTGAAGTACACAGAAAATGTGGCGAGCAATCTTTTAAAACATTGCTCAGACCAGTCAGATTTAAGTCTCAACTCAGGCCCTTCTCTGTACCAAGTTGAACAGTGAGAAAAAACCCACTAACCCCATAGGTCTAGTGGTCTTGGCCAAGAAAATATTTACAGCACTGCTACTCAAATTTAGGTCAAATTTTCAAGAGTCGGAGCAAAAGCAAAAGCAAAATTTTCATCTTTTCAGTGATCCACAAATTTTCATTTCAGGGGTCATCTCCATCTTAGAAGCGAAGAGACAGGAAAAAAATTCACTCAGTGGATATATAGCAAAAATTGCCAGGACTTCCCAAAATGTCTCATAACAGAAACAACAGGTACTTTAAAGGTATATTAAAGCCTACTGTATCATTTTAAAGTTGGTTGGCATCAACTGATCAGGAAAACACTGGACCAATATCATGTTTTGTATCAAGGCAGTGCCTAAATTTGGTAACAAGCAAGAAACAAAATGAGTTCATAAAGAGAGGACTTGCAAAATTTGCACCTAAAATTTGATATTTTGAATGAGTTCATCCTTAATGCAACTGTACAGTCACACCTAAACCTACTTGCATATGGCATGGGCATTGGTTCCTAGGATTTAGATACCCACTGGTCTTGTTCTTGCACAGTATATGCAAATGGAAGTACTGGTGAAAATGAGGATGAGGGACAGTGTTGCTAGTAGAATTTGCAGAAACAGAAATGTAGTTACAGAAATAACTGACCTCCTCATGTATTCAAACATCCCCGGGAGTTGAGATTCCGTTTTCAAGAACACTTTAATGTCCATTGGAAGAGGTTTTACAAAATATCCAATGTCAGGCCGTAACTTAACAAGGTGCTTCTTGCCATTCCATTGTAAGACCAGCATCAGGGGCAATAGATGATGATGGAAACGAACCTGGAGGATTCGCTTTGTAGTCTCCCCAGGTTCCAAGGTAGCAATCTCTTCCATAGGAATTACAGTTGGCACATCATTATTAGATGCCATTGGACTGCAAATCAAGATAAACAAGGGCTGCACTAAGTAGCCTTTTGGGAAGCCAAGGTAACACACAAGGAAGAATGCATCGTTAGTTAAATGTTTTACACAAGCAAGTACTTGAGATTAATGAATCAATCAACCCACCTCCCAGGAGTCTAAGAATCCTGCTAACAGGACAGATTGAACCCAAAAATCCAGTTGATGATACGTGATCACATAAATGACAGCAAGAAATTCAAAATATAACTATGATGATACGTAGAAACTTGTCAACATCAATATTGAAACTTGTTTACATTTAGTTAAGTAGCCTGTAACTAAAATGTAGGCATTAAATCCACTAGAAATACAACTGAGCTCTGAAGTTTAAATTTCAACATCTACAACTTAAAAGTTTGAAATATTCAATACTGTTAAACAATGATATGAACCTTTCCCACCTTTAAAGTTTCCATGAATATTACTCATCCAGAAAGAGAACAGTGATAACCTGGGTTATTAATTGGAGAGATAACTATGATTCTATATTATTGAAGTTTATTTTTATAAATAAATACATGGACCTCAAATATAAATTTCTTATGTGAAAACAAGTCAAATGACTATAATATAGATCATATTTCGCGATGGAATAAAAATGGCATATTAAACATTTTAGAGTGTGAATTATATAATATATGTAAAAGTATTTGTCACATGTAAATATCTAAAGTAACAAGTGTCTTGTTAAATAAAATAAAATAAGAGGGATAGACAAGTGTCCATGGTGTAACATGGCGCAAGGAGCTTGGAGCCCAAGGCTCTCCTCCCTTGTTCACTCTATAAATAGAAGTCCTACACCAGTTGGTTAAACAGGAGAAAGGAAGGAAAAAAAAGGGGGGGCAGGAGGACAGAGGGGCAAAAGGGAAAAAATAGTCAAAATTTTGTTGAAGTAAGAGCTCGATCTTACGATAAAAAATTTATGGAAGGTTTTTGGGTTATAATTTAATAATTTTATAGGTTCAACTTGATGAACAATCACTTGAATTTGATCCTCATTAAATATTTTTGAATCAAATTTGAACATTGTTATTTTTCGCTATTCACTCCAAAAATTATTTTTGGTTTAAATAAGTCATAATTACTTAGTTTTATAATTATTGTAAAATATTATTCGGTTTCGTTTTAACACAACGCACGATCTTGATACGAGATAAAACCTAAAGTATGAAGTAGTATACAATATGCTTCCATCTTTTAATCTCGTTGCAAAGAGTACTATTTTGTTCATCTTAAATTTGTATTTCTATTGATTATTTTTTGTTGGTATGAAATTATGAATCTTTAGTTGAGCTAATATGTATTTTTGGCTAAATACTTTAGGATTGATACATGTACGAAATATGCTTGGTTCATAATTTGTGAAACATGATTGTGGCCCTGGAGGGTGTGATTATGCCCTATAGTGTGTGATTGATTAGTATAATTATGGATTTATATGTCCAAGTGCCACTTATCACGTCACCAAGATGAATGGTGTATAAGGTTGTTTGATAGCAGTTGAGCTATATGACTTATCGAATTGATTCTTGATTCTATTGTTCATAATTCTCTATCAATTGAGTTATTTGGTATTTAATTATTCATATTTTATCCATGAGCATATTGTTTCCTGTTGTATTGCACACTTCCCCGATTTTAATATTTTTCAGGATGATTTGGAAGAAAATGACCAGAGTTGATATTTGAGGAATCGGAGAAACAAAAATCTTCATATTATTTTTATTATATTGAAATTTCAAGTTTTATTGATCTTTGAAGATCAAATTTGTAATTATAATTTTTATTGAGGTAATTAGAACTCTAGCCAAATATTTGGAGATATATTTGTGGTATATTATGATTGATCATTCGTTTAATTTAGTAATGCATTCGAAAACCAGGGCGTTACAAGATCAAAAGAAGAAAACTCACCATATACGCATTTTGGACTACTTTGGAGTTCTTTTCTTTTTGGGTGGTTTTCACGTGCATTTTAAACCAGGAGCCCATGTTCCATTTGTATGGAAATGGTGGATAACATTGCAGAATGTTATAAATACAGAATGAGACAAATTCCCTCACAAGTAGGTGTTTAACTAACTAGCCAAAAACAGTGATAATTATGCAAGTATCAATTAAAATCACCTTCCACTTGTTTCCAATGCTTGGTCTGAAAAATCAGTGTTGCTGTTAGATTCCTCTGAGACCAATTGTAATTTTGACATAGGCTCAGTAGAACAGTTCCAGAAGGAAACTTCTACACATACATGCAGGGGGGATATGGTTGATGTGTCAGATGAAAATGTATAATCCACACTCAACCCATTTCCGTTTGCACGATCCAAGAGATTATAGAATTTAGGTTTAACTTTGCCACCAATATCCCCAACGGAGATTCTTGCCAACGATCTCTGAACGTAACCTAATTCAGATGAATTCTGGCTCGAGTCAGGATTCTCATCCAGCCATGATTCAAAAGCTCTCCTGGACATCAATTCTCCCAAATCTTTAGAACTAGAATAAGCATTATTCTCCTCTGAGCCTCCACTCTGATTTTGATGAGAATTATCGACATCAAAACGAATCAACGGGCCTCCGTTGTCATCTCCTTCACTTGCAGACCCACTTTCATCACTGTCACCACTACCAGTAGAACCAGTACCTGACCCTTGAGAACTATAATCAGAAGAGCTTTCTTCATTTAAAGATCCAGATACCTCGTCTGGATCATATAGCTCATATGATTTGCTATGAGTAGCTCCCTCTGCAGATATTTCCCTCAAACTATAAGGCTCTGGAAGAGGTTCATACCCCGGAGCTGCATGAAGAACTATTTGTGAAAGAGATCCAGGAAGATAAAAATGATAGTTAATGGGTTCGGGTGACGATAGATTTCTTTGTTGCCCAAATATGAGTTCTACAAGTGTTTGTGGCAGGTCCTTATTTTCTGCTGGATATTTTCCTTCTTCCTCCAGACCATGAGAATCAATATAACACGACAGGAGTTTCCTTAGAACACGAGCCCGATCACGAATATCATAGTTTGAGTCACATTTGGCAAGCTCAAGGACATAGCTTAATATTCTTTTGAATGTGCACAGATCTTCCCCTTTCGCACATAACAGAACCTAAAAACCAAAAAAAATTACAAATTTATGAATGAAGCAAAGGCTCACAAAACTATCAGATTCACATTAAGATGATATATACTGGTTTGACATGACAAAAGACCACATCAACAAAAATTCTTTATCAACAAATAGAGTAGTGGATTCTGCTGGCTAATTTAGTATAACTACATCACAATAACTAGATCAGCAATATTAAACCTCGCAGCCAGAATAACAGGAAAACAATGCCGCAAACTCTAGTGAAAAGATATCAACAGCTGCTCATTTTTTATTTTTCTCCAAATAAGTTTTAGGAATTGCTTACCCAGGAAAGGTAAGTTTCAGAAAAATTTAAGAGACATTTGACAACCATTTTAGATCCCTCTGTCGAATTATCTGGCTAGGCTGAGGAGCACTCAAACATCATAGAGTAACTTGAATCAATGGCCATAAGACTTCTTTTTTACTGCAATACTCTGACCCAGTACCGAGACAGTAGAGTTGGTTGTCCACGAGTATCCCTATCAATTATTAACCCCTTGCCATCAGTAAAACATGGTCGAAACAGTATTCTTGCCCCAAGAAAGATTTCAATTTTTTTTGCCTCCACAAGGGCAAATAATATACTCCAAGCATGCCATCAAAGCAAGAGCAGACTTGCACAAACAGAAATCATCAATACAGAAGTAAGAACAAACTCATATTCATTACACCCCTTCAGGGTAGATGAGATGGCTAGGAACCACTTTGAAAAGCAGAGGTTCTGATTTGGAGTCATCCCTATGGGCAATGTCCCGCATCTATTAAACAGCTTTTTTGGCAGTTTTCTTTCTGACTACAAGGACTACTAATGACCTTCTTCCGTATTCCGTATGGTAGGGTCATTCGGACTGAAAACCAAGCTGCGTAATCCCAGAGAGTACCCGCTCTTTGTGAGATGGGGAATTGCATGTATCCACAGTATTGGGTGCTCTATGAGGCTCAGATATCTCGCTTAGAGAAAAAAATAAATAAAACTACAAAAAAAGGACCGAGACTCGTAAGAAGGTACAGTTTAGTAAGCAAAAGTTGAAAGCATTATTAAGAGAATAGGTGGTTCAGAACTAACATGTGAGAATTGAGCAAGAGAAACAAACTAAGCCCCACAGTTCGTAGGACGAAGTAAACTAATTTATGCAAGTGAATAGCGTTTCTTTAGTCCTGAAAATCTGCCGATTTTATGTACTAGTTGAGTATTATTAACAAGCATGAGCTCATGTAATTGATAAGACAACCTGCCACAATATTTTCCTTATACTAATACTTTCGCAGCTAACAAAAGACAAGATAAATTAGAACTGTTTACACGACAAACTACCTTGACAGTAGCATTAAGAATCTGGAGTTTTGACTCAAGTGCTTCCGAAGTAAAGCACCACGCCAGATACTTAAGCACGGGGGACAAAATCTTTGGAATAATGGACCCAATGGAGTTGTACTCACCCACCATCCAAATGATCACTGAACGAGCAGCAGGAACCTTGATTGAATCTAAACTTCGAACCAAATGAATAATTACCTTCATCAAAACAAAGAAATTAACTTATCAGTTAAAATAGAAAGGTATCATATGGTAAACATTTATCATTCAATCAAAAGCCAGTCCCATCCTCTAAGGAAGCAATATATAAAGAGGTTCAAGAACAATAAATTCAATTAAAGCAAACTACGGATAATTTGTTCAATTTCAAGAAAGAACCTACCTTCCAACTTGCATTTTCAAGTTTGAGTGGTGTCGAGCTGTATTTTATGGTTTCCTACAGTCATATGCTTCTAGTTCCATTTGTCATGAGGGTTCTTATGCTTTTAGTATATTCATAAATTCTAGATTTTTAGACAGCGGTCCATGGGTCTGAGCTTGGGTCACATTATGTTACTGGGTCATGGGATATGGTTTATAGTAGCGAGTTCTAGAAATAAGTCTTTGGCTTCTATAAATGAAGTCATATTCCCAAATGTTAAAACATATCTTGAACAGCCTGTGTATACAATACTCTTTTCAAATCCAAACCCCCTCATACCTTTACATTCAAGAATCCCATATCATCACCAACTTTATATCCACAAAACCTAAACTCCGATCAGCCCCTGGAAAACACGAACTCTAACTCGTTCATTTCTTCAAACATTTGTAAATGAGATTATGAGAAGATCACAAATCAGCCAAGATTAATAACAGACTTAGTATTTATAGCTCTGGAACAACCATTATTTCATACCCCACCCTAATTCTCCCAAAACTAGTTGCCATCCAGAATCTTCAGCCTGAGAATCTTGCAACCAAACTCCACCACAATTCAACCAATTACAGCCACAAAGCCCATAATCATTCTTCTACCTTTATGAAACTTTTTCATCCCATGCCCAGAGAATTACTAATCATGCATGAGAATACTCTTAGTTTGCAACTGCTTCCCGAAATTGTTTGGGGTTATCAGAGTTAGTAGGAGACAGTTCTCCACAACTGGCCCACATCAAACTTTAAAGATGAAACTTATCTTATGTTAGGCAAAAAAATTAGAGAAGGAAAACAAATTACAATACAATTTAACCTCCTTTGTTAACATGTTTTTGAAAGAGCAACCCCTTCCGCTTAGTACTACACTTTGACTTCACATATAATGTAAGTAACAAATATAAATTCTGACTTCATAAGCAAACTTAATTTCTCAAAACTAATTCACATTAATAATAAGCTGTAACTTTCATAGCTATACCAAAACCACAGCCTACTCCACCACACACTAGAATGATTATGCTCATAATCCATGTAGAGGTGGGAAAAATTATAGCAAAGCGACCACCATAGACGCTGAGCAAACATGTCTCCAGATGGAAACGTTAAGAAATATTCAATATAATCTCAATTTAAATATTTAAGATCTGTAGACACAGATGAAACAATGACTAATGAGAAAAGAGAACAGCACAAACATGGCCATATCTTATAAGAGAAAAATACATGTGACAAAAATACCTTCTCATGACTGGGTGGATCTAATTTTATAATAGCCTTGATGGTTATTGTTGCTTGAATTAAAACCACTGCCTCGCCATCCGCAGATGCAACATCACTCATTGAAGATTCTGCAATATTGAAGATATTTCAAAAGATTGTGTGTATACATTTGAAAAAAAACAACACAGAAAATATAAAGGAAAAAACAAAACGAAGAAAATATATTCTTCTAAAAGATCCAATACAGCAGAATAGTAGGTGAATTACGGGGTGAGATTAGAGTCAATAACCCTTCCAAACATTTGGTTGCTACTGTTGGAAGACGTTGCACGCATAAACTAATTGCAGCAACAGTATCTGCAGCAAATCTTCTGTCTGGATCTCGAATATAATCCTAGCAATGCACTAAAAGATAAGAATCAATTTGTGCATATCAATAACAAGATAAAAAATAAAAGCAAAATCAGGCAACGATGATAGTGCTTCATCAAAAAATTAGGAATTAATTTTTGTTAGACAAAAGCGAAAAAATTAGTGGCACACGGGCAGTGCTAGGCTAAAAGATCCCAGCGCAGAGGCAGTCTGGCTGGCCTCCAAGTCCAGGCTGCATTTTTAGCAACTAGCCCATCCCATGGCCACCCTTTCATATACATGCACTGCATACGACCTCTCGACAAACTATATTTGCCTAGGTGCATCTCCAGTTTTCCCTTTACTTCCCTAAATTTTTTGCAATTTTGTGCATGAAAGATTAAATAGTATGAGCAAATGTATAGCTTGAAGGATCCCTCATCCATACATATAAGTCTTCGAAGATTTTTCTTAGACCCCTCTATGATGTTTCCAAGTACATCAAACATCAATCAGGGTGGTCCACAATCTATATAAAAGATCTCACTATAAGAATCATATGATGGTGTCTGATGTTGAAGTACAATCAAAAACGAAAATTAAACAAATGGAAAGTTTGAAGGAACCCTAAGTTCCAACATCTAGCTAGGTAAACTAGGTCAAGCAAAAGTTGAATAGAGATATACCAACATTAGACCTAATGAGTACATACTGCAAGCAGCTTGAGTGGTTTAGATTTTGAAATCCAACAAACTATTATTTCTCAACCTACATAGTAAGTGCTGAAATTTAATTATTCGACATTAGATGCAGATATAGAACTGGCATCAGAAGGGTAAGAATCAGAGGACAATCCCACTTAACAACCTTTTATATCAGCTTACTTATATCTTGTTAATAACTAATAACAATCACACTATTCCCATAATTTGAAGCTTCAATGTTAAAAGTTTCTATTTCTACAAGAAGTTGAAGAATTAGTAGACTCCATATAAATACAAATTCTTCTGCAAAGATAAAAAGGAAGGAAAATATTCACTTGTATTCATGACTAGGCTTAGATAATCAACTTGTTTTAGTTGTACATAGTTTCTATCTCCCGTGACTTGAATAAAAAAAGGTAATCATATCCTTACTAGATTAGAACTAAAGATAGTCCAAATTAAAATTTTCCATATCTCAACTAGTACCTCGACATTTAATTCAAACAACAAAAAAGCATCAATCCCATATTATCCGCACTATTATAACTTTTGTTCATGTTTTTTGGGTTCTCACAAAGCATTGTTTTATGATTTCAAATCAGATCTTTCCTATGATTTAACCTTAAGGTTGTGAGTTCAAATCTAAGAATAGCTACTTTGGCAAATAATGAAAAAGTTAGGCTTGTACCCAATCTAACCTCTTGGAATAAACTGGGTGTTTTTTAATCAGATTTTTGTTCCAGAAGAGAAATCAACTCTCTCAACAATGTGACTCTAATCCACTGATTAGATATTCTATAAATCCAAAATCAAATTGCTGCACAACGCTGCCTAAACCAGGGACTCCAAGAACCTTTTTATTCAATTGTAGACACAAAGTTCCAGAAACTTGAGTTATCCAGTCAGCAATTGATCTTTCCCTAAACTTTACCTGTTCAATCCATAATCCCTAAGGATGCTTTTAGTCATCATAGAATAATTGTAGACAACCTTGTTTTCTGTTCCAACTGTTGTTCTAGTTTTTGTTCTATCAGTAAGCCAAAGACAAATAATGATGTAAATACAAATAGAACTGATTTGAATGAGTGTAAACTTATAACATAAGACAATACCTGAAACTCTTGAAAAATAGCAGATATAGATGAATCTGTTGCAATGGAAGATAGTATCTCAAGTTTTAGAGCTTTTATTCGATATGGATCTGAAGAACTTATAAAGAATTCTTCAAAGTGAGTAGAAAAGAGAGAAGGTGCTGCTTTAGTGAAAACTTGAATGTTGCAGAGGACCTGCATCAATTTAAGTATAATTAGATTTAGCGAAACCAAGTTTTGAATTATTGGATCAATACAGGTACGTGTTGCCGAAATATATCAGTGGTACGCCAAGAACATTCAGTATCTGGTACCACCAGTACTTTCTGGCATGTTTTGGGATCAATATTAGTCTCTCATCAGCCAGTTAAACCATGTCCAATACTAATTACCATTACAATGTCTTATATCCATATACAAAAAGTGAAAAGCAGGTCAAAATACCAGCCCTAAATGGAATAGGAAAAACTAGGAAAAAGAAAATAAGGTAAAAAGAAGAAGCATTAATAAAATGGGTCATGAACACGTGTGGTCTCATAATTGATCAATCTTTCATTTGAAGCAAAGTTCCCAACAAGAAGATGCCTCCACCCACACCTGTCAGCATGCCATTTGTGTAATATATGAAAGCATATAATGAACACCACATATTGGACTACCAAAACATATGGACAGGATACATGCAGTTATCAAGCCATTTTGTAGTAGTAAGTTATCAGTAATTCCTATACAAAGAATCCAATAAAACTGCTAAGAAAACAAAAAAGTTGTCTTACTCCATGCAAGGATCAAAATTTTGTTTTAGTCCATAATTTTAGTTCGGAAACAAAGGAAAAAAGGAAAACTGAGAATTTCGAAACGTGAGAATTTCAATTTTGCATCACTAATTCATTTCGGCCATTTCAATGGAAACAAAACAAAATTTTGATCCTCGGTTGCAGTATTCTTGAGAAGATGTCCCTAATGGTCATTACCATTATTTACCAACACTTCCTCAAACATATAAACTGGATTCTTAAGCAAAAGCATTTATGCTTTATTATACCACGGCAGATTGCAAATGGCAATATAAGCCATTAAAAATCAAGCTTTGTCCTACAAAATTTGCAAATGGACCTCATAAAGTACTTCTATAGATCGCCAGAGGTATAGTTCTTGTAGGGATTTTATTTATTCAACATTTCCTCCTCCATAAAACTCTTAGTTCGAATGTCAAAATATTAGTTGGGATTAAAATATGAAAAATATTTAGATGAAACCCTGCTTTTCTTTGTTTGATTTCTTCATTTTTCTCCTTTTCTTTTTAATTCTTTCCCCCACCAATTTTGGTGTTGGGGGGATGTTAACTTTAAAAGAACTGTCAATCCTCAAAAATAAATAAAAATAACTTAGCGAAAGGAAACAGTACACTTTCAGAACTCCTATTTGACATGACTCTGAACAAAATGAGGATGCATCTCCATTTCAAATTAATGTGCTGTATGTATTCTTATAATTGCAAATCACAGTAAACTTCAATAGTTTGATACTACTAGACAAGAACTTTTTTCAACAAACCAACTCCATATCACCCAGGAGACAGGGAGCTCCTATTTGACATGACTCGGGGGGAAAAAATGAGGATGCATCTTTATTTCAAATTATGTAATCTCTGTGTTCTTATCATTGCAAATCATCCTACACTCAATGGTTTGATACTAGCTAAACGGGAACCTATTTCAAAAAAGCAATTTCAAGTCACACCTTTAACAGCATTTACTATCCACATTGTTTAACAATCCTCAAACCACACCTTTTTTACACATTGCCTTCTCTCAAGGTGAAACACTGCCGAATTGCTATACCCATGCAATCCGTAGGTCACAAAAAAGAGTTCATATTTGCAACAATTAATTGGCTTTTTATGGAGTGGCAGCCAAAGGAGAGTGTAAGAAACATAAAGCTAACAGAAGGCTTGTTCTATGCAACTACAGAAGAATGGATGGATTAACATGTTATTGCAAAGTCAAAAGATCTCATGTTTACAACATTTCATTTTGTTCTAGGCTAGAGTCGCGGAAACAACCACTCCAAATGTGTGAATAGGCCTGCTTATATGTGACCCTCTCAAGATCCTGTAGTAGAGGGAGTCTTATGTACTAGGCTGCCTTTCTTACAGTTTAATTTACAACCTCATATATAGGCTAGAATTACAAAAGATTTTCTTATTAGGTCTTTCTCTTCATATTCCAAATTTTCTTAGCCTTCATAATTCTAGTTTCATCGAAGATATATTCAAATTTTCACTGTGTTGTATCTTGTGGGGTAGGTGGCAGCAACAAAGGCATACAAAAGGCGGGCTATACATAATACAGGATTCTTTCTTCCACTCAAGTGGATTTTTTTCCAAATAAATCATTTTTTTCATTTCCTAGATCTACATTTGACCAAAATTCGACTACAGTCCAAACGTTACTAAATTTCCTTCAACAATATGTTGCAAACTGGAACCTCGTAATGTTTTATGCACTGTACACAATACCAATAATGAATTAAAACAAAAAAAGGCTGCAGCATAAGAAACAAACTTAAACAGAATCATATAAGACCACTTTTCTAACGAAAATGCAACATACCACATATTTTGAGGAATTAGATGATCTCAGGAGAAACAAGAGCGGCTTAACAATTTTATTAATGTCCTCCTTTGGTGCCATTATCCAATGTACCCCAGCAGCCGCAAGTACAACTGCACTATTGTGACTCCATAACAATGGTGAAGTACACTGCAGGAGGATCTTCACATCATCGTTACTTTTAGCAGATGTATAACATGAAGAATCCATTCCAGATGTAACCCTTTCTGCATAGCTTGACCTTGATAAATATTTATCTGGTCCTTCCAGGTAGCTACTGGATATCATACTGGCTAACTCAGAATCATATATCCCATTATCCGGGTCATCAGCGTTTTCTTTTCTAGCAAAACTAGTATCTGAACCTTCGTTTTCAAAATTATAGCTCTCACTAGACCAAGAAGATAACATAATGGATTCTTTTACAAGCCCATGCCTGGCAATTACATAGCGTAAAAGGATCCCAATCAAGATAATCTGACCCCACTCTTCCACATCAGGGAGAGTCTCGCATAACCTTTTATAATTTCTTCCAATAAGAGACAAGTTGTTTGGACAAACAGAAGCAAATGCAGCAGCAGCAGCTCCAACTACTCCAGGAGACTTGTCACTCAACAATACTCCAATAGTCTGCACAACAAAACATTGTAGACCTATCATGGAAAGCCACACAGGCTTTTTTGGGTGTCTAGATAGAAACAGATGAACATCAAATGCTGACCTCTTCAATCGTTGTGGTACTTTCCTCTAGGCGCAAATCATGCAACTTGGGAAGAGCATTGGCAGCACACTTTCTAACATATACAGACGGATCTCTAGCACATTTTCCCACCGCCAGAAGAACAAGAGGTGCAATTACATGTAGACGGATTCCTGCCATAGTACGTAATGCCCACGCCCGCACCAATGGATTGAAATCCCCTAAATCCTTCTGGAAATAATTTATTGATAGCAACGCTTCATTTGGACGCCTGGAATATAAGAAAGGGCACAAGTAAGTCCCAACTCGCAACAGTACATCCTGTACAGTCAAACTTTATGTTTATCTGCATATGCATATTGGACTTCAATTGAACAAGGGCAAAATGTTGTGTTAATCTCCAAACTTATATCAAAATATTTTTTCAGTTCAACTAGAGGGGGACAAACTATTGTCCCTCCAACTTTATGATTTGAGTTTGGGTACAGAAAAGTACCCAAACGAATACAAGCTGATTCACATACTGAAAGATACTTTGACAACATTCAGTTATCTTAATTAATCTCACAAAGATCATATTCTCAAACTAAGTACTGGAGTAAACATAAAAACACAATATAGAATCGTAATGAGGGTAACTGATGGGTTCCTGAGGGAGTCGTTGGAGTTAAAAGTTGTGGTTCAGAGCATACTTTTCAGCATAATGCAGTAGGTACAGATAAACCAGCTTCTTCACTTCCAGTGACTGTGATGCCACATTTTTAACCACCTGTATGTCCATCAACCAAACAAGACGTCCATATAAGTCGTATTTTCCCAACAAAAACTAAAAATTGCATGTATTCATGAGGTAAACAACAATATCAACTAACTCTCATACAGTACCGTCCAATTTTCAATTTCATTGATGCATCAATATGAATATTCACTAATTGGATAAGTATTACTTCAATTGAGAAACAAAAAATGGAAAAAATACATCCACAATTTTCTTTACTTTCTCTTTTTCTTTCTCACCAACCAAACAGGGGTATTTAAAATCAGACTTATGATACAGATACTTTTATGATAACCTGAGGGAAGAAATTGGAGACATCGAAGCCCTGAGCGATGAGAGCGAGCAATCGCTTGAGAGCTTCGCAAATCTCGGAATCGAATTTGCTGTCGAGAAGTGGTGCAATGCTGACGACGTCGGGATCGTCGTAAAGGTGAGCATCCGTGCCGATCCGAAACACAATCGTCGATGCTTTACTCAGTGTCTCTGCTGTGGCTCCGAATTGCGTGAACATTTTCTAGGGCTTAGGGTTACGATTCTGTATCAGAATTCTGAGCACATAGAGAGGGGTGTGTTCTTGTTGAAGACAGAATAAAGCGTGCTCGGAGACTCGGAGATTGTCAGCATGGGCTATTATAGGAAAAATTCATCTACGCCTCTTTCTATTTTCCAAAACTTCATCACATCCCTATCTATATTTACATGTTTGTTGCAACAAAAACCCTGGTGCCTAGGCCCGTTAAAGGATCGGATTTAGATGGAATTTTGATCGAATTGAATTTGAATTTAAAAATTCGATTTGAATTTTATCCGATAATTCTACGGATTTTATTTTTACAATATATATTTGAATTCGTTAACAATCCAAATTTGATGTATTCCAAATAATTTAATTAATTAATTTTTAACAATTTATACCTAAATTTTTATAAACAATCACATAAATTCTTATATATTTATATAAAAATGTATAAATAATTCAAATCGGGGCATAATTGGATTGGATATAGGTATATTCAAATCATAATCCATTAAATAAAATGTATTGAATTCAAATTCAAGTTCAGATTAACAAAAAAAATATTAATTCATATCCAATTAATCGAATTCATATTTGGATCAGTCCATTGACAAGCCTTCTAGTAATGGTTGGATAACAATAGCACTTTGATCCCCTTGATTATATCCATATCTCACATTGCTCCATTAACTACTTATGTTTCTCATATTACATCACACCTATCATATTCATCACGTTGCACTTCAACTATTACGTTGCCCCAAATTAGATATTACAAATGCATGCTTTACTACACATGTAGATATTTTATGTATGAAAACATGATGAATGTTTAATTTTGGAACGATAAAATCAATTCAAGTATTTGAGAGAAATGTGAGAAACTCATTATATTTCGAGAGGACAAAATCAAACCACTCATAATTGAGGGAGTCAAGTCATAATTTATTGAGTAAACCACATAAATAACCCTTGAAATTTAGTCTTTATTTTAAACTATACCCTAAACTTTCAATTTTTTTAATGTACCCGCTGAATAATATAAATCATTTTAATCAAGTACTTTTGTTAAATTCTAGTGTTAAATGGGGATGAAACCCTAACGTTGGCAACTAGGGGAGGGCATTTTTGTCCATTCAAGTAATATGTATAGCTGGGTTGATGACCGTACTCAAAAACTCTTTTTTGTTGTAGAACTGTAGATCTAAAGTTGTATCGATGACAGATATACATTTTTTTGTGAACTGATGTATTCCTTGCAAACTGATATACTCTTTTTATGAACTTATGTACTCATTTTGTTATGACAATATGTGTTGTGAGACATTTGTGGAGAATTCATTTGTTGTAGCTTCAATTTTTTTTTTTATCTCAATCATCAAATTATTTGTCTCAAGTTCTAGCTCTGTTTCAAGGGACTGATTCATTCAAAGCATAATAGGGAACATTTCATCCACAGACCAACAAAACAATATAACAATACTCATTTCTCCACAAAACTGAACTTTCACTCATATTTACTCTTATTAAACATTTACATGTAGTTCAAATTAACCTTCTAAACTTGTTGATGCTTCTCCACAGTGGTAGTAAACATCAATGACCTCTCTTTCTCTCTCTCACTCTCCCACAACGACAATCAACTGGACTGAGCAAAACTACTTGTTCTCTACTACGATGAGTGTAACATACAGTGGAGAATGAGTGGGAGATTTTGGCGCCCTTTCTTCAACCTAACTATACATATTACTTGAATGAACTAAAATGTCCTCCACCAACTATCATCGTTAGGGTTTTATCCCTATTTAATGCCAAAATTTAACAGAATGACTTGATTAAAACGATTTACATAGTTTAGGAGAAACATTAAAAAAATAAAAAATTTAAGGTGCAATTTAAAATGAAAACTAAATTCATAGGTCATTTATATTGTTTACCCTAATTTATTCTATCTAGGGTTTTTTTATCCGATGTCTTATTTCTCTTCTATTTTTATTGCACTCTATATCTCTCTTTTTTCTCTTTATGAATAAACCAACACACACATGCAAATAATACATATGTGAGTGTATATGTAAGTCTATCCTCATAAAGCAACGGTACTCACACCCATATTGCCTCCCTTCACATCCCCACCACAAAAGCAACCACAACATTGTCTAATAATGAATATCTTACACTACGACCACCCTAGAATTGGTATCACCCACAATTGAAATGATATGTATGTATAAACATTATTCCACCCTAGAATTGGTATCACCCACAATTGAAATGATATGTATGTATAAACATTATTCGAACACAAAGTCGAACCCATATTCAAATATGCAAACTTTATTAAAAATCACCAACAATTTGCCTATACTTACTCATAACCAGTCACCTCCACATTCTTCTCTATTTGTAAGCCTAGTATCATACACATGTACTCGACACACCCCACAACCATATCTTCAGCACCAGTTCTCATACACGTACACAAATGTTTCGCACACATACACATTCAAAGAGAGACCGAAAAAAGAGAATGAGAGAGAAATTAAGAAAAAATATCGAACGTGATAGATACTTTTTTTTAGTTATAATATATACAAACCCTATTAGTTTTGATTTGTCCACACATATACACACGAGCTCATAAATACGTGTATCTCTTCAAGTTTTTTGCATGTAAGGAGTTTTAGGGAGGGAGCAAAAAGGATTCTTTTTGACAAATGGGGAAGGGTTTTGGAGTATTAGGGTTTCTATGGGAATAAGAGGATTTGTTCGATTAGGCAGGGAGGAAGATGTAGCGGTCTGACAACTTGGGGAAAATGTGTGTGTGTTTTCTTGTGCATTGCACGTGCATCTGATGATTATAATTTTAGGGGAAAATTTCAATCACACCCCTTTTAATTTATCATATATTAAAGGACACCATTTCTAATTTATATTTAAACATTATTGACACCCCCTTGTCATTAAATCACCATTTCTAATAAAAACAAATCATCCAAAATACCAGAATTACCCCTACATCAACCTCAAATAATCTTATATAAAATTCAATTAAACTTCAAGTCTATTAAAATTCATTTTTTTTCTGATTAAAATTCAATTTTCTGCATATTAAAATTTGGGCCTATTAAATTTTTTTCACGTATTAAAATTCGAGTCGATTTGAGCTTTACCTAAGCTATTAGTGCTGATTAAAATTTATTTCGAGTTAGTTAAAATTTATATTTTTTTTATTAAAATTCATGTCAAATAAAATTTTATTCCAGTTGATTAAAATTTATTTTTTATGTATTAAAATTTGAATCGATTAAATTTTATTTTTTTTATGAATCAAAATTTGAACTAATTAAAATTCAATGTGAGTTGATTAAAATTTGATTCGACCCGATTAAAAATGAATTTTAATCGGCTAAAATAGAATTTTAATGGGGTCAAATTTTAATACTTAAAAAAATATAATTTTTAATTGACACCAATTTTAATACGTAAAAAATAAATTTTAATTAACTCGAATCGAGTTTTAACTGACTTGAATTTTAATACGTAAAAAAATTAAAAAATAGAAGGGGCCTTATTGAATATATGTCTATTTAGAGGTGGTGTGAATAATATTTTTCCTAAAATATATCATGAACAATTTAGTAAAATTATATTATAGTTAACACTTTTAATCTGATAAGAGGCGTCAATGAAAATTCAAAAAATAGAGGGAAAGTGCTCAAAGATATAGTAAATTAGAAAGAGTGCAGCTGAAATTTTTCTTAATTTTAGAGAAAGTGAAGATTTTGTGCTCGAATAATGAAATCTGCATTAAAAAATTATATCACATTTACGAAAATGACATTCAAAAACAAAGTTAAGGGAGGTCTATCATTTTTACGCGCAATGCAATTGATATTTTTATTTCATTGATGTAATGAATGATTTAGTGAATGTTAATGTCAGGAATCACATTGGTTCAATGTGTGAAATTTAAAAATAAAGTACAAAAAATTAAAAGTCTAAAGATCAAAATGATACTCATGACAATTTTTAAGGACCAATAATGTAATTTACCATACTTACTGCAACTAATGCTAATTTGGTACCAACCATATTCTTAGTCCTTTCAACACTCTTTTCAATAAATAATTTTTCATACATGTATCAAAACTAATCCACTGCATGCCGAATAATGTATAATCATAGAATTCTATCGTTGATAATAAAAATAAGGGTAAAAGGCACTAATGGTCTCTAAGGTTCGAGACGTATTGTACTTTCATCCCTAAATTTTTTATTTTTATTCTCAATATTTACACATTGACATACTTTAGTCTTTACCTTAACTTTAGTAAAAAAAACTAACAGAAAATGTCACGTGCCCGGCACACGAGGGTATTAAGGGCCATTTTAGTCATTTTACAACTATTTATACATCCGAACACAGTTATTCTTAGACCCAAACACCCACCTTCTTCTTCCTATCTCTTCTCTCTCCTCACCCACGCACAAATCCTTCTGAGTTATCACTTCCTCACACACAGACATCTCTCTCTCTCTCTCTCTCTCTTAATTTGCTGCATCTCCACCCCCAAAACCCAACAAATCCCCTTCTCTCGTTACTGCGTCTCCACCCCAAACCCAACACATCTCTCTCTCTGCTTTCTTCTCTCTCGTTACTGCGTCTCCACCTTCAAACCCAACACAAAAACCACAAACACAAATAGTGGCTGAAATTCTGCTACAATAGAATCTCACAATTTGCAACACAAAATCAAGTATAACATGAACAAAAATCTGCTGCATTTACCATATATAACTCTCAAAAAATTGGTCTCTATTTCATCAAAATATTCAGTACAATATGCACCAAATACAAGGAAAAATTTCAGCAACTGATAAAAAAAAACAAACAGCTTTCAAAAACACACAAACGGAGCTTCTGCTCTGGAGACAGCAATTGATTTTTCTCCCAAAAATTCAGATTTCTTCTTTCTCCTTTCTGCTGAAAAAACCCTATTTTCTTCTTTGATTTTCTGCCGAAACACACTCTGGTTTTGGGTAGCAGCTCTTGCCTTTTATACCTCTGTTTTCCAGCCGAAAAACCCTTGAATCAGGCCACTCCATGGCCAACTGCCTCTCCAAGCAAGAACCGACTT